GATGCTACAACCTTCTGACATGATATAGACGGTTTGTAATAAAACAATAAAACATGTATTACCACATTCGTAGTGAATAAAATGTAATACATCGAAAATGTACAGAAAATGTAGTTATTGTAATCCGTCATATCGTGAGCAGCTATTTTGATCCACCTGGACATCCCAGTATCCTAGTTACCTCGGGCATGCGCATTCGCATTTTTTTGAGTTGAAACGCTTATGTGAGAGCGAGATTGAAACAGGATCTTGGTATCATGTCACCGTAGTTGCAAACCCCAAGTAATGTACCTCTGGTTACATGTATCTACACAATATCAAAAGAATCTGGTGAATCATTTTCAATAAGAATTCTAAAAATAGCCTTTTCTACCAAAAATGATCGAAATACTCACTAAAATTTGAAGTGTGAAATTTATAAATATTTGTAAAAAATGAAAAGAATAATATGCAGATTCACAAAAATTAGAACACAGCATTTATTTGGAAATATTTGTAAACTACGGGCTGACGATTATAAACTTGAGGATGGTGAATTAGGGGGAAAGAATCCACACTGTCAAATTTATGAATGTAACATCAATAAATAGAAAACAAAACATTTTTTAAACGAAAAACAATCTATTCATACATATTTACAGTCATAAACATTGGTTCAAGTGCAGGCTTGTGGTCAATAAAAAAATGTCAAAGCATGGTAGCCGTCGCGCTGCGCATGTGCGACATTTGTGTTGATCAACATTGATTTTTCCACAATCCAATGCACTCTTCAAATGGAAATCACAAGTATAAGGTTTGACCCTGGCGCGACTTGCACTAATTGCCGCCGCGGTGACTCCTTTGATATACCTTCCAATCACATGAAAATTACTCAATTAAAGCTTGGAAACGTCTCAGTTTGTACATGTACTCGTTGATCTGCACAACAGTCAAAGTCGCCATCTTTGTTTATATGAGACCCCATTGACGCTGCAGTTCGGCGTCTTCTACACCGATCTGACGCATATCGTGCTAGAAGTGCCGGGAGTTTGTTTGAAATTTCGAACATTTCGAAGTCAATCGTCGATTGACACGTATTTTACGGATATATTAAATCGTTTCAGAGACCTGTTTACTAAATAATGATAAATGCAACTTAGAAAACTTATAAGAACAAACTGGGCCCAAATCGCGCAAATTGCAATAAGTTTACGCTGCTAGAGTCTGGTTCGGATGGAGTTCTACGCATGAATTTATTGCGCTCAAGGACGTTCTATTTTCAAACTAGTTGAAACCGGAAATAACGCAACTACTTTCGAACTTCAAACACAAATTTGATTATCGTTATTATGTGTTAGTTTCTGTTGTTTCAAAGATTGAATTATGTATGACAATAATATTTCACTCTATAAACAATATTTCACTAAAATATGTGATTCAAAGGCAACCCAAATTGTAAAAAGCAATATCAAGTTCCGCGTATAAACAGTTGTAAAGAGGCGGCGGAGCGGAATTTTAGCCAAAATCGGCTAGTAAGGCGTCATATCATTGACGCTGCAGGTCGGCGTCTTCTACACTGATCTGACGCATATCGCGCAAGGTGTACCGGGAGTTTGTTCGAAATTTCGAACGTTTCGAGGTCAGTCGTCGATTGCCACGTATTTTACGGATATATTAAATCGTTTGAGGGGCCTGTTTACTAAATAATGATAAATGAAACTTAGAAAACTTGTAAGAACAAACTGGGCCCAAATCACGCAAATTGCAACAAGTTTACGCTGCTAGAGTCTGGTTCGGATGGAGTTCTACGCATGATTTTATTGCGCTCAAGGACGTTCTATTTTCGAACTAGTTGAAACCGGAAATAACGCAACTACTTTCGAACTTCAAACACAAATTTGATTATCGTTATTATGTGTTAGTTTCTGTTGTTTCAAAGATTGAATTATGTATGACAACAATATTTCACTAAAATATGTGATTCAAAGGCAACCCAAATTGTAAAAAGCAATATCAAGTTCCGCATATAAATACTGTTGTAAAGAGGCGGCGGAGCGGAATTTTAGCCAAAATCGGCTAGTAAGGCGTCATATGACACAGGTTTGTGCTGGGACAGCGCTTCCGAGCCCCATATATCTCCGCACTTGCGTAGCGCGACGACTACCGCGCTTTACACGTTTTTCTCCCCTTCCAGAATTTCTAATAATCAGCCTCTAATTTGTTGTTTTCAATAATAATGTGAAACAACTTAGTTAATCACCTTGGCAACGCAGAATAAGTAATACGCAGTATAAGCTACACCAAATCCCACTACAACTGACATCGACTGTAAATGACTGGCATATTCCCGTAACTTTTCCATCGTTGACAAAACAAGTTTAGTTGCTGGGTTGGTTGGTTGGATGGATCATGGATGGATGGATAAATAGATAATGTAACTTAATTACGTTCCAATTATGTCAGCTTCATCTCGTGACCTGAGATAAGTATTTAACTTCGGTCCGCTTGATGTGAAATTCGAAGATTATTTGACACAATTATTTGTCATACCCTACCCATGTTTAAAACACGGTCCCTGTGCATGACCGATGCATGACTTGACCTGACATAGTGTTAGCTTGGCATTGTCAGTAACAGATTCGCGAAGCACAAAATACAGAAAAAATCACCGAACGCACCAATATTTATAATTTTTAGCATTCAATTTATTACCTTACTATATTTTATACACGCATAGTTTACGTGCTCAAGTTTTCTGCAGGTTATGTTTTTGTCGAATTCACGGCTGTAAATGAAAGTCACCTGTACTGTAAAATGGCGTCTGGAGCTCTGTTCGGTTCTAGTGCGACAAATCGTGGGGGGAGCAAACATTTGGTCGAGTTTCGCGCAGGAAAGATGCGCCTGAATGGCACAACTGTTACTCCAGATAAACGAAAGGGTTTGCTTTATGTACATCAATCCGACGACTCGCTTGTACATTTTTGTTGGAAAGACCGCACGACCGGTAAAGTCGAAGACGTGAGTCATGATATTTTATACCACTTATACTTACACATAATAGCGCCCTCAACCTAATTCCAATAAATTTAATTTCTGCATTCAAATCTATATTTTTGGAAATTGTAATTGTCTAATCAGTACAAAACTATTTGAGACATATTAATAGTAATATTTCTAATTGTGGTAATTTTTTTAAGATGGAATTTCAGCCTGAGATGCATGCGCTTATGTACATGAGTATAGACTGGTGTGTTTCTATGGTCAAAATAATTTAAAGATTCTTATAGCATTAAAAGTAAATAAATAATTTAAAATATAATTTAAAACAATACAACAAATGTCTTATTTAGATTAGTATTATACATCCTTTCAAGTGGCAAGGTTTCAGTTGTTTCACTGTTATATACATGTATCTCTAATAGGATCTGATCATATTTCCTGATGACTGTGAATTTAAACGAGTCTCCCAGTGTACCACGGGTCGTGTTTATATACTGAAATTCAAATCATCAAGTCGCAAGTTATTTTTCTGGTTACAGGCAAGTATATTATTTTAGTCAAGTCATTTCATAACTGCATATTTACTCAATTTTCTATAAATCCACAAAAGTTTTGTGTAAGTTGGAGATGGAGCCAAAGATTTTTGATACACTCACTTTTGTAATGTGCGCATGATGATGGGGTGCCTGGTACATGTAGTTTGAATAAAGGCTTGTACATGGGTGAACATGATACATAATGCTAATGTGGAGAAACTATATTTTATGCACATACAATTGTAAATATATCTCAAAAGTTTTTTATTTTTTGGAACTTTTATCCACTTTATATGTGCTTAAATTATATGAGTTTAAATTCTGTGAAAAACAATAAAACAATGAAAAATTTCACTGTTTTCAGGAAGCATTTAAATATACTTGAAGATAATTGTTCCAGTTTCTACATGTACATCACAAACTAATTGGAATGATGTTTCAAGTAAGAAAGGTACATGTACATGCAAATCTGACATAGATTTTGTCATAGAGACTGTATTCCACATTTGGACTACATGTATAGTTGTATGACATAAGTAATAAGTATTGTTATTGCTTTCCTAGGCCACCGGCCCATATACAAACATATCAAACCAATGTTTAAAATGTAACGGGTACAAGTAGAATATGATAATATTCTCGGTTATTGATCACATGGAATTAAATAATAATTAGTTTGTTAACAATTGTTTCCTAACTTCAAATGCTCTGTACACAAACACACAAACATTTCGTAGAATAACACCATTTGCTGCTTGAACGAGCCTTTGAAATTTATCCATGTTTGGTTGGAATGAAAAATGTTGGGGGATTAACTCTTGTCTTAATGTGTTATAGGCTGGGCAAATCAACAGAAAATGATATTCATCCTCAACAAAATTAGCACGACATACTTTCCAGAATCTTTCCGTTGAAGGCAAACCTTTGCGCCTACCTTCTTCAATTCTAAATGGTAAAACCCCACAACGAAAACAGGCAAAAATGCGGACGAGTTTCAGATTGCAATTTAAAGATAAATATTTCTCTGGTTGTAAGGT